AATAGGCTTGCCTAGACTTGCCCGGTAAGCAACTTAATTAAAAGGAAAATAAGAGCAATCACCTAGCAACGCGAGAAACAGCTTCCTATATCTTATTTAGCGCTAAAACTCGGATATATATAAACAAGACATACACAAAGGGGAGCTGAAAACGCTTTATTTCAAGTTTGTCTGACTACTACAGAACTGTTTTCTCCTTTCTATCTCGAGGAAATGAAAAACTATTGAAGTCTCAACGTTTCACGCGTCATTAGTTAGGTAATTATGCGAGTTCACAAGCCCAAAGTTGAATACAAATTAGCTCTACAGGAAAAACCTCAAGGGACCATATTGACGTATTATTATAAAACAAATAACTTAACAAGGATCAATTGATTAAACGCGCGACTAATAATTGCTAGCAATAAAATCAGACACGAGATACCGTTTAAAACAAAAAGAGTCAAATACACAGCGATTTGAAAGAAATCTATTAAAATAGTCAAAGAAAGCAAGCTATCTTTGTTTACCACGTTTCCCTCCTCATTTTTTTTTATTCCCTCCTCCTCAATTTCGTTATTTTCCCTTCTCAATGTTATTATTCCCTCCTCCACAATTTTATTATTTTCCCTCCTCCTCCACCTCCTCCTCATTTCTATCGTTTTGATAGGATCGATGTAGGGTCGATGTAGGGTCGATATGGGGTCGATGTAGGGTCGATGTGGGGTCGATGTAGGGTCGATGTAGGGTCGATGTAGGGTCGATGTGGGGTCGATGTAGGGTCGATGTAGGGTCGATGTGGGGTCGATGTGGGGTCGATGTAGGGTCGATGTGGGGTCGATGTGGGGTCGATGTGGGGTCGATGTAGGGTCGATGTGGGGGTCGATGTTTTATTTTGACCTCTTTGGCCTTTAAGAGAGAAAACAATAGAAAGGAGGAGGAAGAGGATTATGTTAGTTATCAATACAGGCTAAAAAGGTGCCCTTTCTGCCCTTTCTGCCCGATCTGCCCCTTGAAAATAAACAATAAATTCTAAATTTTTCGTTCGATTAGCAAATCATTTAACTCAAGTCCACGAGTTATCGGAAATAGAACGAAAAATTTAGAATTTATTGTTGATTTTCAAGGGCAGATCGGGCAGAAAGGGCAGAAAGGGCACCTTTTTAGCCTGTGTTTTTTCCCTGGGCGCGCGTGGAGAACTCGCATGTAAGTCGTGTAAGGAAATTAGTTTGTAAGTAAATCATTGGTCGAATTTAATCGTGGCTTGTTTCCTGACTCGACGCGCACGACTTACACGCGAGATCTCCACGCGCGCCCAGGGAAAAAACACAGGCTAAAAAGGTGCCCTTTCTGCCCTTTCTGCCCGATCTGCCCTTGAAAATCAACAATAAATTCTAAATTTTTCGTTCTATTTCCGATAACTCGTGGACTTGAGTTAAATGATTTGCTAATCGAACGAAAAATTTAGAATTTATTGTTTATTTTCAAGGGGCAGATCGGGCAGAAAGGGCAGAAAGGGCACCTTTTTAGCCTGTATTGATAACTAACATAATCCTCCTCCTCCTCCTTTCTATTGTTTTCTCTCGAAAAGGCCAAAGAGGCCAAAATAAAACATCGACCCCACATCGACCCTACATCGACCCCACATCGACCCTACATCGACCCTACATCGACCCTACATCGACCCCACATCGACCCTACATCGACCCTACATCGACCCTACATCGACCCCACATCGACCCTACATCGACCCCATATCGACCCTACATCGATCCTATCAAAACGATAGAAATGAGGAGGAGGTGGAGGAGGAGGGAAAATAATAAAATTGTGGAGGAGGGAATAATAACATTGAGAAGGGAAAATAACGAAATTGAGGAGGAGGGAATAAAAAAAAATGAGGAGGGAAACGTGGTAAACAAAGATAGCTTGCTTTCTTTGACTATTTTAATAGATTTCTTTCAAATCGCTGTGTATTTGACTCTTTTTGTTTTAAACGGTATCTCGTGTCTGATTTTATTGCTAGCAATTATTAGTCGCGCGTTTAATCAATTGATCCTTGTTAAGTTATTTGTTTTATAATAATACGTCAATATGGTCCCTTGAGGTTTTTCCTGTAGAGCTAATTTGTATTCAACTTTGGGCTTGTGAACTCGCATAATTACCTAACTAATGACGCGTGAAACGTTGAGACTTCAATAGTTTTTCATTTCCTCGAGATAGAAAGGAGAAAACAGTTCTGTAGTAGTCAGACAAACTTGAAATAAAGCGTTTTCAGCTCCCCTTTGTGTATGTCTTGTTTATATATATCCGAGTTTTAGCGCTAAATAAGATATAGGAAGCTGTTTCTCGCGTTGCTAGGTGATTGCTCTTATTTTCCTTTTAATTAAGTTGCTTACCGGGCAAGTCTAGGCAAGCCTATTGTTCCTATTGTAGTAGAGAAACACTCATTAGTAAACCTATACCGAATTAGTATGCAGGGCGACACTTAATTAGTATGCAGGAAATCCAAATTAGTATGCGGGAAGGCAGTGAGCAGGCTTTTATGCGGTTCAAACAATAAAAATACGGCAACCAACCAGAATGCTTCGTCAAACGAGACAGCCAATGAGCGTCTTTCTAATTCCGGTCAACCAATCAAAACAACTATGACATCATAGTACCCCGGAATACATATGACATTATCTTCCGAAAATAACTAAAACCTGTCAAACCGGTTATACCAACCATGACCGCCACAAGATAAAAATAGAACATGACATCATTGATAAACCCGTCAAACTGGATATACTTAATGAGATTCCACCGCAAGTTAATGAGATTCCTGCGCATTTTATTCATGAGATCAAGACAAAAGGTTATGACGTCACCTAGTTAATGTATTCCTACGCATTTTATTCATGAGATCAAGACAAAAGGTTATGACGTCACCTAGTTAATGTATTCCTGCGCACGCTAATGAGATTCCTGCGCAAAAAAGGGGTTAATTTCATCCCTCCTATACTACTTCCCGAAAATTCTAGGTGACCTTTTTAGGTTAAAAATCCGTTAAAAATGGGCTATTATACCATTTTTTAGATGTTCAAAAATCCTAGGAGAGGCAGGCAAGCAGGAAATTTTACAACAAAATGTTCCGAAACTTCTAGATCTCAAATCGTCTTCCGAACAAATATTTTCCGAAAATTGACGGTGGGTGCCCCTGCTAACTGAGCACCATGATACTGTGACGTTAGGTTTTCAGGGTTTTCTTGGTCTTTAAGTCTCATAAAATGCGCGGCGTTGCGCTGGACAAATAGAAGGATAATCGACGGGGCGATTCGGAATAACTGAAGGGCGGAATGGGACTAAACCTCGGTAAAACACTTCGCTGGGCTGCGCGGCCAACGTCTCAAACAACGCCAGAGGTACAGGGTTGTTAGTAACTTGTCCGTAGAGCAAAACAGAAACGACTTCGACAGGATTGGAACTCTTCAAGTACAAGTAATTCAGCATGGCTCTGTGTCTTATGTTAACGGGAGGTAATCCAGTTCTGTTGGTTCGAGGTAATTCAAATTGTACAGCGTACAAGCCTGCTTATATGTGGTCTGGGTATGCTAATACTGTTCAAATATTATGTTCGGCAAGTCTTTCATGTAAAATAACATTCACAGGAGAATAGACAACTAACATCCTAGTTAAAAAAGAGCTCATACAAAGGATGGTAAACAGCTGAGAACACAATTGCTCTAGATTATTGTGCTGAATATGAATAATACCCTGATCCTAGTTTGTGTTTACACTAAGTTCGTTTCGACAGAAACTTCTAGAAAGTAAAGTTTAAGCAGCTTTCGTTTTCCATTCTATGGTTAAATACGATCGGAACGTCTTGCTGCTCATGAATCTTGGTAAAACAAATTGCAAGACGGCGGAATAAACACTCATCTTTGCAGGGTTTTTCGGCGATTATAAATTCATTGTTTGGAAATCGTATTTGAAATGCTGAAATGTTAACTCAGTTCTGTTCTAAACATTACATTGAAATATCGGCTGTGACAATACTGAAGAAGCGATCTTTCGCCGCAGCGCCGAAAAATTGCATTCCCAATCACAGTAAGACTATGGTAGACTCGCTGGGATGTATGGTACAGCCAGTTGGTAAAAGAAGAAAATGTTCAATAAATCAATGAATTGTATTTTATTAGTTGTGTGAGTGACCTTTGAAGATAATCAGTTAAATTAGAAAGCGACAAGGCTGGATGATTTTGCGATAAACTGCCCAAAGCCTAAAAGTCATTTTCATTAACTTCCAAGTTTTAACTATGAATAGTCAGTTATTTTAGTCTTTGATTTTCAGAGTTAAAATGATAAGCCCTAGAAAATTCCTGGCTACCGTAAACTGATAGTATATGCTTTTCAACACTACATCAAAGAAAGAAAATAAATATATAAATACTAAATGGGCGGCATCCCTGCAACTGTTAAATAGGTTTCAGTAATTGAATATTTACATATTTACAGCAAAACATCAGCTGCTTATTTTAATTCGAGCTGGGTGAGTTTTAATGGATCTTTTTTACGGTACCACATTTGTCCTCACGGATCATGACACCTTGTAAGATTAGGGATTGATCACAATTCAGTGGAATTCCCTGACCCCATAAACCTCATTATTGTAATGCATATTTTGAAGAAACGTTTGGACAAATTTCTAAAATATACTTTTCCCCTAGCATGACTGCATTCTTGGTTACCAGACGTATCTGTCGCATTTTCATACTTTGTTTTTAGTTCTACAGACTGTTTGAAGGGCAATGTTCAACAACAGCACATTTACAAGCGCAGCAAACAGCACAAATGGTACTGAGCCCGGGCCTGGACCTGGGCGCCGACCTCCTCCTTTCCCTCAAGTTGATGTCGTTGGTATGGTCTTCTATTGCCTTCTTGCTCTATTGATCGTGGTGGAAAATTTGCCTATGATTATTGCCTTTTATGTGAACAGACAACTTCGCACGAAAGCCAATCTGATATTGATGTCTTTAATAATGGCTAATATGGTGACCGGAACAATTTCTGTGCCATTGTGGGTTTATGTATCTGTAACATTCACCTTTCGAGGACTGCTGTATGTCTTTTATCTCATTCTGGATGTCATGATAATTGGATCTTCGGCTCTCAGTATGACGTTAATGAGCCTGGAGAGGTGTTATGCGCTGATAAAACCGATAAAGCATCGAAACATCAGAAAAAGTAAGTATTTTAATGGTCACTAGTGAATGTCTCTAAATATCAAGCAGCCGGCGGCCAGGATCAAAAATTATATTTATATTTATAAGTTATCCGCTTACCAGTTATTGGTTTTGAATTTATCGCAGGCCCAGGTATAATACGGCAAAAGCTGCATAACGTAAGAAAGACATTTCATGAAAGATTTCACGAGAGCTTTCGTTTGGCTAAATTTATATCGGAGCTCCACACGCGCGCTTGGCGCGCGCGTGGGCGGAGCCCAATAGCTAAGTAAATCTACCCATCACAGAAAATTTGGTAATCACGAGACAGTACACCGAACGACCGCCCGAGCGACCGTCCGTCCACATAACAGGAAAACCAATGTTTACTTTCACACTTTCTAACTACTTTGGGAGCCCAGGAGAAAACTGATCGCACATCAATGTTGTGATCAATCATGGATAATATCCATGGATCAATTGACAGCTGTCAAAACAAGGTATCCGCTGACCAGTATCACCTGACCGTATCTCGGGCTCAGGTGTCGACCCATCGAGGTTGAGTAGTTTTTTGAAGTTATCCGCAGACAAGTTACTAGTTTTCAAATGATCGCAGTTCAAGTTTATTTTATTAAAAATTCATATGAAATATGTTTTGTTTTTTTCACTGTGGCCCCGAAGTATTAAGATTTTGATTTCAAACTAATCTCGGATGCAAAAATTCAGCCAGTTATTTAGAAATACAGGTGGGGAAGACCTTTTCTTACCAAGGTCACGCGTTGGTCACGCTCTACTTCCAATTTTTATGCTCTGATTGGTCAAAAATTTGACAGATGAGTTCATGCGGAAAATTTATGCAGCATCTACTTTGACAGCTGAAGCTGACGGCGTTTTGTGTCAACTTGTGATGTTTTTAACTGTTTTTTTTTTTCCACTGGATGTACAAAATGAAATACAGCTGCTATCAAGAGTCTTCTGTTATTCATGGCTAGTTTGTTTATTGGTTTTTTTTGGTTGAGAGATGCGTCGCTTGTCAAAGTAAGAAATCCGATTTCGGATGGCATCGTTTTCGTTTTTCACCTCGCTCGATGCCTAAGAGGGTTCAAAAGTCTCAAGCGATTCTGGCCTTACTTTATAGTTTTCAGGAGCTGCATCTCGAATGGTAAGCCTGAGTAGTTATTGTATTTGATGTTTGTTTTTTTATATCTAATTTCATGAAGTCGAGCAAAGTTTATGCGGCAAGTTTATAAACGTTTGTAAGATTGGAGACAATGATCTGACCCAGTGTCAGGTTTGATATAAGCTTACAGAACTTTAAAAAGCCTTTAGATATATTTTCTAGAAAGAAAACGTTCCGAAGAATATTTAGTTATAAATTTGGCTGTACAAAGAAAACTTTTAGCGATTTTCTTTCCACGAGTTCATCTTTGGAGAACGCAAACACCGGAAGGCCGGCTTAAAACATAAACGTAAGCTTTAAGACTCAGGATTTTTAGAAAAACTTTAATACTTGTCTTCGTGAATGAAAGTTGTTGTCTCTGTAAATGTTTCACCGAATTATATATCTTTGATTGATTGTTAGTAGAATCTATTGCAATTTTAATCGCCGTACGTGCCGTTTGTTTTCACTCGTTCACGAACATCGCTTGCAGGAGTACTCAAAATGCCGCGCGTATCAAACGCTTTTTAAGATTACACATCGTTATAAAACCGTTACATAAAAAAAAAAAAAAAATAAAAAATTTCATATTATATTTAAACGTAAATCTATTAATTGAAACCGGAAATTTGGCGGTCGTGGAACGGGAGAAACGGCGGGCCGGAAAGGGGGTTTTGGAAATTTTTTCAACGGGTTTCGGACGGGAAGGTATATTTCACCAATTTTATTATCTTTTTTTGATTTTTTGTAGAATCTATTTGAATTTTAATTGCCTTACGTGCCGTTTGTTTTCACTCGTTCACGAACAGCGCTTGCAGGAGAAAACAAAATGCCGCGCGTATCAAACGCTTTTTAAGATTACACATCGTTATAAACCCGTTAAATAAAAAAAAAAAAAACATAATAAATTCCATATTATATTGAAGCGTAACTCTATTAATGTACACTGCAAATTTGGCGCTCGTCAAACGTGAGAACCGGCTGGCCGTATAGGTGATTTTGGACATTTTTTCAACGGTTTCGCTAAAAGCCCACGGTTGATAGTCTTGAATATTGACTGAGTGCAATTCGTCTTGAAAAATTGTGAAATATTGCATTCTGTCCGAGGTCTGTATGATAAATAGTACTGTTTCACCTCGGATGTGATGTATAAAAAGTAATATATAACAATTATTCACCGAAGTGGAGGTGGCTAGTAGGAGCATATTTAACTATCCACTACTAGCCACCGACACTGAGGTGAATAATTGTTTTAGTATATACTAAAGCAGTGAGATAATTTAGCAAAAAAATGATCATTTTTAACTCACTTACTGTTGCCAACGAGTACAATTTTGTTGCGCGATTACCGAACGGCCGCGGTCGTCGCTTTTTCTTTGCGACAAATAAAACTTTTGAAGGCGTTTGTTTAGCTCTTGCGGGAAAGTTTCCTCAAAAGGAGTTGTGAATTCGTTTTGTATTTAAAATCATTCTGTAACAAAGATTATTAAATTTAGTTTTAAGCTTATTTATGAACAAGTCAACTTAATAAAGTAACGTAAGACTTAAACTTAATTTGCATTTGTAAACAAAAAACTTTTTCACCGGTTTTATCGATAAATTCAAGTAAAAAAGACAAGGTTTTACCTGTTAAAACTTCCTAACCGAACTTCGTCACCTTCTTCATGTATTTCGGGAATAGCTTGCTTGATTAGTTGTGAAATTTCTTAGTTTGTTACGGCAGCAAACCGGAAAGGAATTTTGCTCGCAACTTACGCGAGTTTGGCGTCGCTCGCTCGGAGGAACTGGAGGTGAATCAATGAATAGTGCAGGATGTTCACTGATTGAGTAGCCAATAAGAGCGCGTGAAAAACACTATCCACTGTTTTAGTATATACTAAATAGATTTAGCCAAGGCTAAATTAGTAAAAAGCGAAGCTCTCGATAATATTTAAAGTTTGTTCAAACAAAATATAAAATCGTGTAATGCTAAAGGTGATGTCACACGAGACGATTCGCAACGACGATTTTTAGCGCAACACAGCTTTGCAACATTGTTGCGACATTGTTTTGAGCAGTTACAACATTGTTCCAACATTGCAACGCCGTGTTGCGCTAAAAATCGTCGTTGCGAATCATCCCGTGTAACATCACCTAATAGGGAGTTTAAGATACGGCGACTACGGACTACGACTACGGTTAAACATGCTACTGCGCATGATCAAAATCACTTGACTGTTCATTTCTCCCGCGTAGTCCTGCGGCTACGGTGAGTTGTTGAGCTGTTTCGCGTAGTCGGGACTACGGAGAACATTTTGCTCGTATTTTGCCGTCTCGGTGATTCAAGAATCTCGTCTTTTCGTAAAAAAAGTTTTCAATTCACCTGCTTTAAGTGAGAGGGAAGCGAAATATGTAAGTTGTGTCTAATTTCTTCTCAGATTTACGCTTTTAATCCACTGTTGTAACCGCATTTTTATCTAGCTAAGCTCATATTTAAATACGCTTAGCTGTTTATACGTACAATTCAGATTGACGGCCGAGGAGAAGGGAAATCATGCAGGTAATTTACTTTCTCTTCGCACTTGAAAAGTTTTCTATGTTTGTTCGAACTGATTAGTGTGTCTCTCTAGTTGTGTAACCTTTGTTTATGCGAGTTTTTGTATCGTATTTGCTGAATGAAAATGATGTAAACATCTTCGAGACAATCGAAACTCGGCATTTCAATACTTCAAACTACATCAGATCAGTAGTCGGAGAAGTCCATCTTTTAAATGTAATAAATGAGCTGTTACTATTTCTGTCTATTTCTTTAATATTTGACATAAGTATTCATGGGCGAAAAAAATAAATCCTGTGTAACTAAAACTTTGTTCACCAATTTCACCCGATGTAATTCAGTGCTTCCTTCAAGAATGGAAGAATTTGTTCATTGTTCTAAAGATAAGATCACATGCAAAACGGACTTGCATTTTTGTGAACTGTGATGAAAACAAGAAAATCTTTGCGTGTTATTTCCCTCTCCGCCTCTTCTCTCGTAGTCTACTGTCTGTAGTGCAATCTTAACGTTCTATATTTGCACGACTCAGCCCAGTGCTACAAACAGAGGACAACGCTCGTCCAGCCGTAGTTCGTAGTCCGTAGTCTCCGTATCTTAAACTCCCTAATTAAGCGGTGAAGGCAACGAGAACGGTGAAAAAACAACAATTGGTCTAATTAGCAAAAAAACAACTTTGCACTTGCAGAACACTTTTTTTGTACATTTCGTTGCAGTTAATTGTTTTGCACGACTACAACGTGAAACGTCCAGAAACATCTTAGTTACACGTTTTTTGGTGGAAATGTTGTACGTGTTCTCGTTCACTTTTTTTTTCACCGCCGGTCATTTTCACCTTGCTTTGGTGGCCGCTAGCATTTGTCATGTTATCACCGCCGCTAAAAAGTTTTTTATGTTATTTCTTCCAACAAAAAAAAAATGTCTCCTTTGTTTTTTTTTTTTTATCTCTCGCTCTAGATCTCTGTCGCCCTTTTTCTCGCTGAGCTTCGCTGGCCTGCCGCCTACTTTTCTCTTTTTCTCTGTCTTTCTCTTTCTCTATATTCCAAATTTGTGGGCATGACAATTAATCTAAGGTTAAGACGGAATCCACCAGGAAATTGAGTAATTTTAATTTCAGTGGACAAACATTTTGTACCAGAATAACTTACAGAATATTGCATTCTTTTTTACATTTTTTCTAAGGGCTTAAGATGTAATAAATCATCTGTAATGGCACCAAAGAAAATTTCTCATGGAAGTCCGAGAAAATGAATGTCAAATTTCAGAAGAATTGTGATTACGCAGGTAAAAGTCTGAAAATTTCATGTGTAAGATGTAAGTCTGTGAAATTCGACATTCATTTTCTTGGACTTGCATGAGAAATTTTTTTTGGTGTAACTACAGCTGATTTATTACATCTTTAGCCCTTTAAAAATGTAAGAAAGACTGCAATATACTTTAATGCAAGATTTTTGTCCACT